CGAGCTCCCGCTCGGACCGTCCCCGCGGCCCCGGCAGTCCCCTGCGCACGGTGCGGGCCACGAGTGAGCCAGGCGGGGTCCGTGTGAACCGTAGCTTACCAAAACCAGCCCCCCCTGTGCCGAGGGTTCGATGTGCCCCGCTGGCTCGCTCCGCGGTCCCCGCGGCCGGCTGCCAGGACGGCCTCCGCCCCGCTCTCCGCCAGAGGGTGGCAGAGGCACAGGCACCGCCGCGCTTTTTGTCTTCCCGGCCACAGGGGAACACCTGGATTTCTGTGACTTGCCCTCAGTGCTGCCATCAGATTACGATTTCATACCAGACATCCTTTTGCTGAAACGAGAAACATCAGGACAACATCTTTTTTTGTACCCCCGACAACCCCAAATCTGTGTTTCTCCACCCCACACCCCGAACATGCTTCGCCAACATTTTGCCGTGGTGACCGCGGTGCTACGTTCCAGCATGTCGCGGTAGCTACGCAGATGCCTAAACCAAACCCTTCTCACAAAGACGGCACGTAAGGGGCTGGGAGGAATCTGCAACGAGACGGGGGGAGGGGAAACAGCCCGATGGAGCCAGAGAATTTCATCCCGTGAGGGTCGTGCTGGGCAGCGCGACGAGCAGCAGGGACGTGTCCTTCTTGAAGGACTCGAGGGAAGAGCGAAAACTTGCAAGCCCTTTTTGGAAAGGAGACCGACCGGCTGACAGCATGAAGTAGCCAAGACGATTGCTTTGCCGAGCACATCTACTGTCTAGGAACTGGACACGTAACGAAAACACCGACAGCACAAAAGCCAGCTTTTAAACATAGCTTTAAAGGCATTAACAGCCCAAGCTGACATGACCTTTTTCCATCTATTCCCGGCTATCGTTTTAAAGGTGGTTTCGGCCAATCGGGCAAAATGTTTGCTCTGTGCAGAGCGTGGGAAATAATAATGTAACTGTAGCTAATTGTCTTTATAAACGTAAACAAACATTCATAGGAAATCGCGGCAGGATTGCAGTGCAAAGAGTCAACGAAAGATCGCGCAAAGAGCTCCTAAGCCCCCAGTCACTGCAAGGCACGACCCGGCTGGCTCTGTGCCCGGCGGGCACACAGCGTGTGCGCTCAGTCCTTCCCCTCCGGCCTTCCAGAAGTGCGTGTGTCTGGAGTAAATAGACATGTTTTAACATAGGTATCTACATCCTCGGAGAAGCCGAGGCCCGTCAGGGGAAGGGGCCAGACGACGACGGCTTTCCGCGGCACGCGGGAAGGAAGAGTCGTCCCGGCACCTCGATCCCCCCGCGGCGCGGCGCCTCCCGCCCCTCCGCGCCCCGCTCGG